TAGCCTGGATCTGAGTGCATATTATTGGCGAATAGCGCTCAGATCCCACACACATAGTTCAATCGCCATGGAGTCAAAGTTCTTACAGTCTTTCGGTATACGAATGACTCCATGGGAGGGCTATCTGGGTTAAGTCTTTCGTATGCTCTCAATCTCCCGAACAGCCGGTGTTCGCATGCTTTCGTGGAGGCAGCCAGGCGTTCCCTTGTTTCAGCGGTGTTCGACAGAAAAAGTGTCCGTTTTCCGTTCCATAGAAATAGAGCCAAACACCGCTGAGCGTTCGCATGATTTAAAATGGCCGCTGCCTCGTGGTCGACATACGAACGACGACCACCCTGAGTTCGGTTTAATTGAGAAGTGTCTGCGGTTAACCACAACGTTATAATGGTGATCACTTCGTTAACCTGCAGCACACTCCTCACTTGGGTGGCCGTTCGTTCGGCAGATTTGTTCGGGAAAAAGAGTCATTCGAATGGCTGGGCTATAGAAACCAGCCATTCATACGAACGGGGACAAACAGACGAACGGGCAAAAATCCAGCAGACAGATGGTTCTGTCACACGGCTCCCTCCTTGTGGGACACTCCGGCAGACCCGGCTTGACCCTGTGGCGGGTCAACTTGGGGATGACCGGACTACGAGGTGATGGAAACGTCTGTTTGTCGTGACAACCCATCTGCATTTCCGTTTAGCTTATCGGGTCTGTAGCTGATAGTAAAATTGTAGGGCTGTAGTGCCAAGCTCCATCTCAGCAGTCTCCCATTGTCTCCTGAGACCCGGTTAAGCCAAACGAGTGGGTTGTTAGCAGTCACAAGGGAAAACTCTTGCCCATACAAATAGGGGCTTAACTTTTTCAATGCCCAGACCAAAGCCAAACACTCCTTCTCCACTGCCGCATAACTCACTTCTCTGGGTAACAACTTTCTGCTGAGATATGCGACAGGGTGCTCTCCTCCATCTTCCCCGACTTGGCTCAGCACAGCCCCCAGTCCATACATGGAAGCATCTGTATGGACGAGAAAGCGTTTGTTAGGGACTGGGGCAGCCAAGACAGGGGCATTCACAAGAGCCTGCTTCAGTGCCTGGAACGCAGCTTCACAAGTCGGAGACCACAGGACCTGCTTAGGCAAGTTTTTCTTGGTCAGATCTGTCAGGGGCTTAGCGATAGCGCTGTAGTCAGGGACAAAACGTCTGTAGTACCCTGCCGTCCCCAAGAAGGCCAATACCTGGGTCTTAGTAGTAGGTGTGGGCCAGTTAGCCACTGCCTCTACCTTGGCTGGCTCCGGTCTCTGGCTCCCACACCCCACTCTGTGACCCAGGTACTGTACTTCAGCCATACCTAGATGACACTTTTCTGGCTTCAATGTCAGGCCAGCGGCCCTAATCTTATCCAGCACTACCCCTACATGTACCAGGTGTTCCTCCCAGGACCCACTGTAGATCGCAATGTCGTCCAAGTATGCACAGGCAAATTCTTGGAAGCCATCCAGGAGTCTATCCACCATCCGTTGGAAGGTAGCCGGTGCATTTTTCATCCCAAAAGGCATGACCTTAAATTGGTACAGGCCAAATGGGGTGACAAATGCCGACTTGGGGATAGCATCCTCGGCCAGGGGGATCTGCCAGTAGCCCTTACACAGGTCTATGGTGGTCAGATATCGCCCCCTGGCAATACGATCCAGTAATTCGTCTACCCGGGGCATTGGGTAGGCGTCAGTGGTGGTCCGCTCGTTGAGTCGCCTGTAGTCCACACAGAACCGGGTGGTCCCATCTTTCTTTGGCACCAGGACTACAGGCGAGGCCCAAGGGCTGTCGGAGTGCTCGATAACCCCAAGTTGGGTCATCTCCTGTATCTCCTTCCGCATTCCTTCACGGACTGCTTCAGGGATACGGTAGGGGGGCTGTCGTAACGGGGTCTGTCCAGGGGTCTCTACCTTATGCACAGCTAGGGTGGTATAACCTGGTTCCTGGGAGAACGTCGCCTGCTTCTCCCATAACAACTGCTGCGCCTGTACCCTTTCTGTGGGGTTCAACCGGTCCCCTAGCTGTACAAGGGTAGTAAGGTCAGTCTGGGAATCCCTTTCTAATAGATCTGGAAGGGGTAAGTTCTCAGAATCATCTGCAGCTGGGGCACATACTGCTGCAATATTCTCAGGTCTCTCCTGGTACTCTTTCAGCATGTTCACATGAAAGGACCGCTGGATCCTCTCATCTGCACAGCTGGCTATCAAGTAAGTAGTGTCGCAGATCTGCGCCACTACCTTGTACGGGCCCTGCCAAGATGCTTGCATCTTGTTGGCCTTCACAGGTTTAAGCACCAATACCTTTTGCCCAACCTGGAAGACCCGCTGTCGGGCACCCTGATCGTACCATCTCTTCTGTCTCCCCTGGCCGCCTGGAGATTCTCCCTTACCATCAGGGACAGTTTCTCCATGCGGTCCCGGAGTTCCAGAACATATGGTACTATGGGGGTCCCTTCCTGCTCCGTCTCCCCCTCCCAGTGGCCTCTAATGAGATCTAGGGGTCCGCGGACCCTTCTCCCATACAGCAGCTCAAAGGGGGAGAACCCAGTAGATTCCTGGGGCACCTCTCTATAAGAAAATAATAGATGAGGCAGGAATCTCTCCCAGTCTCTGCAAGTGTCTGTAAAGGTCCTCAGCATCTGTTTGAGGGTACCGTTAAAGCGCTCGCAGAGACCGTTAGTCTGTGGGTGGTAGGGTGAGCTAAGTAACGGCTTAATGCCGCACACCTTCCACAGTTGCTGGGTGAGCACAGCGGTGAATTGGGTTCCCTGGTCGGAGAGGATCTCCTTAGGGAACCCGACCCTAGTAAAAATTCTAACCAGGGCATCAGCAACCGTCTCTGCCTCTATGTTAGACAGCGCTACTGCCTCTGGATAGCGAGTGGCATAGTCCACCACTGTAAGAACATACTTCTTACCGGATGGACTAGCCCTGGCCAGTGGACCCACAATGTCAACGGCTATGCGGGCAAAGGGCTCCCCTATAATAGGCTCCCCCGCTTTCCTACCCGTTGACATGTGTCACACGTGCTGCAGTACATCCGCACAGCCTGGTTAAAGTTTGGCCAAAAGAAGTTCTGTGAAATCCTATAGGCTGTGCGGCGGGACCCTAGATGTCCAGCTAAAGGAACATCATGCCCTATCCGCAGAATCTCCTGCCGGTACTTTGCAGGTACCACTAACTGGCGATTCGGCGGAGTGGCAACACTCTTCTGGGAAGGTTTAGGGATCCTATACAACCTGTCCCCCACCCACTCATACCGTTCCCCATCTATTCCTTCCTCCCCAGCATCTGCCCTGTCCTTGTATCTTTGGAGGGTCGGATCTGCCCGGGTTTCCCTCCCAAACTCCTCTGGGGAATCCCAGCTTAAGGGAACCTGATCTGGGGTACCAGTCGGGGAAGGAGATCTTACCTGGGTCTCGTCAGCAAGTGGGCTGGTTCCGGCAGCACGGGTCTGGGCACGGGTGGTCACTGGGTTCACGCTGCAGGGCCCATCGGAGCATAGGCTGAAACCAAAGGGGCCAAATCGTTTCCCAAAAGAACATCTGCGGGCAAGTCCTTCATCACCCCCACATCCACATGCCTAGCGCCAACTCCCCAATCCAAATGTACTCGGGCAACAGGTAAGCGAAACACGGCACCCCCTGCTACCCTTACTGCCACAGTGTCCCCAGTGTGCTGATGCTCTGAGACCAAGTTCTTTTGGAGCAGTGTCATCGTGGCTCCTGTGTCTCTCAGCCCATTCACCACTCTGCCATTCAGCTTCACAGTTTGCCGATGTTGCTGGCGATTATCCTGGTGAGCTGCTTGCACTGGGTCTGCCTCGTGTAGAATGCCCCAAAATTCCTCCTGCTCTAGGCAGTGAGCAGCAGGCTGAGGTGGGCGCTGGTTTCCATTAACTGGTCTCCTCCAGGACTGAGCCTGGTTGGCACTGTTCAGGGGGCACTCAGGACGCTTGTGCCCCAACTGCTTGCACCCATAGCACCGGATGGGTTGGGAGTACTCCCGGGCATTAAATCGGGCTGGTTGCATATAATTGTTAGCTGGTGGTGCGCTGGGGTACGGTGTACTGGGGGTTGGTAGACTGCAGGAGCGGGTGTTACTGCTGGTCGATACTCCAGTCTGGCAGGGGCTTTAGCAGCTGTACCATCCAACTTGCGGGCATCCGTGTATTCGTCTGCCAGACGGGCAGCCTCGGGTAGGGTAGAGGGTTTTCTGTCTCTGACCCATTCCCGGACCCCAGCAGGTAGTCTATCAAAGCAGTGCTCCAGCAGGAACACTTGTAACACCTCCTCCCCAGTTACCGCTTGGCATCCAGCCATCCAGTGGGCTGCGGTACGATGGACTCTGCAGGCCCATTCCACATAAGAGTCCCCAACCAGCTTGTTGGTTTCTCTAAACCTCCGCCTGTACGCCTCTGGGGTCACTGCATACCTGGCTAGGAGCGCCTCTTTCACAGCCCGGTAGCTGGTGATCTCCTCCTCTGGGATGGCCCGAAAAGCTTCACTAGCCCGGCCAGATAATTTCCCAGAGAGGATGGTGACCCATTCATCTGCAGGTACCTGATGTAGCGCACACTGCCTCTCAAAGTCTGCCAAAAATCCATCAATCTCTCCCTCTGTTTCCACAAAATTTTTAAATGCAGCAAAAGGTACCTTCTTTCTGGCAACCACATTATTGTCATACGGTACCTCTGCTGCTGCAGCTCCTCTTTCCCGGGTCCGCCTGTTGTGCTGCAACTGCTGCCTGCACACGAACCACGATGTCAGCTGAGGGGTTGGGGCCAAAATGTGCCAGCCTTATTTGTACTGCCCGGTTGAATTGTATTTCCTCGGGTGTTAAATCCAAGGTACTGGGCACGTTGACTCTTTCCATTCCCGTTGCTGCATCCATCTCCATTAGCAAAGCAATAATCTCCCGTTTCTTTAAATTGCTTGCTGACCTTCCTCGGCGTTCCAATATGTCCTTAAGTGTAGCACGCCTTAATTCCTCGTACTGCATGTCTCGTAGCTGACCTCCAATGCTGTAGGATTCATCCCGTCGCTTGCCACCAATTGTTAAGACACCTCCCGTGTCTTTAAGCCAAACCGCCGTTTAGTAAATCTTCCCCGGCTGCAGTACAGTCTCTGTTCGCTTACTCTGTAACCCACGAACCAAATGCAGGGGAAGCGGCAATCTCCCGATCGAAATCCACGAACGGCTCCAAACTCCCGAACGGCAATATACGAACTGCTAGGAACCGTCGAACAATAATATCCCCAAAGCGGCTTTCGTTCCATCCAGCAGTCTCTAAACGTGAAGAAGAAATCCCCCCAATAACGAGACAGAAGCTCCGCATTGAGGGTCAAATAAGATCTGGTTTTACTGTGGGCTACCTGCCCATATTTATGCAGGTCTCCCACCTGGTGGACACTCCCCTAGGGGACCAAATGGAAGACTTAAATTACAGACAGATAGAAGGACATTTCTGACACACAGTCACATCTCTTACCCACAGTGCATTCTGATTCCCTCCCCTCTGTCCTGGAGTTAATTACCAAGTAACTCAATTAACTCCAGGACAAGGACAGTCGCCATTTTAAACATAAAATAATAAAAGACATAAAAATGCATAACTACATGAAAACTGAACATTTCCCATTCGTATTACATGTCCCCAGATAGCCTGGATCTGAGTGCATATTATTGGCGAATAGCGCTCAGATCCCACACACATAGTTCAATCGCCATGGAGTCAAAGTTCTTACAGTCTTTCGGTATACGAATGACTCCATGGGAGGGCTATCTGGGTTAAGTCTTTCGTATGCTCTCAATCTCCCGAACAGCCGGTGTTCGCATGCTTTCGTGGAGGCAGCCAGGCGTTCCCTTGTTTCAGCGGTGTTCGACAGAAAAAGTGTCCGTTTTCCGTTCCATAGAAATAGAGCCAAACACCGCTGAGCGTTCGCATGATTTAAAATGGCCGCTGCCTCGTGGTCGACATACGAACGACGACCACCCTGAGTTCGGTTTAATTGAGAAGTGTCTGCGGTTAACCACAACGTTATAATGGTGATCACTTCGTTAACCTGCAGCACACTCCTCACTTGGGTGGCCGTTCGTTCGGCAGATTTGTTCGGGAAAAAGAGTCATTCGAATGGCTGGGCTATAGAAACCAGCCATTCATACGAACGGGGACAAACAGACGAACGGGCAAAAATCCAGCAGACAGATGGTTCTGTCACAGTACACAGTACTGGAGACCGTATCTTAAGAAGGATATTGATACCTTAGAGAGGGTTTTAGAGAAGGGCTACTAAACTGGTTCATGGATTGCGGGATAAAACTTACCAGGAAAGGTTAAAGGATCTTAACATGTATAGCTTGGAGGAAAGACGAGACAGGGGGGATATGATAGAAACATTTAAATACATAAAGGGAATCAACACAGTAAAGGAGGAGACTATATTTAAAAGAAGAAAAACTACCACAACAAGAGGACATAGTCTTAAATTAGAGGGACAAAGGTTTAAAAATAATATCAGGAAGTATTACTTTACTGAGAGGGTAGTGGATGCATGGAACAGCCTTCCAGCTGAAGTGGTAGAGATTAACACAGTAAAGGAGTTAAGCATGCGTGGGATAGGCATAAGGCTATCCTAACTATAAGATAAGGCCAGGGACTAATGAAAGTATTTAGAAAATTGGGCAGACAAGATGTGTAATTCTCTCTATTGTTTTTTTCTACCTTTTTTGAAAAGTCGCTCCACGTTGTTTCCTGCCACTGCCTCATAACGATGATGTCATGCTTGCTCGCCGTGAGCTGCAGGTTCCCGAGGGTGACCACATGACCCTAATCCAGATCTTTAACCTTTATAAAGAGCGTAAGTGATGCAGCTCTGTCTGATTGCTCTGCTGATTGTAGCGTGTGCTGTAATTGCTGTAAATGGTCTGTAATTTGCTTCTTCCACAGACGGAGAGGGTTGGTGCACCCGCTGTGCCCTGTGCCCGCAGTCTCTGCGTCAGGCTGAGTCACTCCGACAGGACCTGTTGGAGCTCATGCACCGGATTGAACTCCCAGTTTCGCCGCCAACCTTCCCCAGCAAGGAAAGCATTGTGAGCATTACACGAGCCCTGCTATCGGGGGGCTTCCTAAAGGTAAGACATGGAAAGACTGCTCGGAACCCCAGAGATATGGTGCAACTTCAGTATTATTTATATTCTAATTAGTAGTATTAATATTATTAGTATTACTAGTATTAGTAGTATTACTATTTATATTATGATAATAGTATTAGTAGTAGTAGTAGTAGTATTATGGGCGACCAACAGACAAGTCTATGTAACTAGACGAGTTGGATGCACAAGAACAGAGGGTGTTGGGTGCCCTACTCAAACCAGCTTCTATTCTAGAGGGAGTAGGAAAGTAACACACGAGGTAAGGGTAGGGTGTATTTCATATATGGGAAAAGTACGTTGTAACGGCTCCCCCGGTAAGAGAGGGGTTACTGCCGTATAGGACGTTCCCTTAGCGAATGCAGAGGTAGCTACTGAGCGCTCCAAACTGCCGAACAGCAATCATACAAACCCGTTGGTCTCCAAAAACAGCCGAACAACAATCACACAAATCACTCAGTCTCCCAAATAGTCGAACAAGCATAATCCATACGAATAATCCCACCAATGACGAGACAAAGCTCCGTATTGAAGGTCAGCAGGAATCTGTTTTACTGAGGGCTACCTGTCCGGTATTTATGCAGGTCTCCCACCTGGTGGACACTCCCCTAGGGGACCAGATGAGAGACTGTGACAAGGACATTACAACAACCAATCACAGTGTTACACATGTAGCCATGCCCCTTTAATTACCCAAGACCCTCTGCTCTGCCTGGGAGATAATTGTGAAGTAATTCAATTATCTCCCTGGACAGAGACCAAACGCCATTTTAAATTACTATAACAAAATGCATAAAAATATATAAATTTACAATAACTGGACATAATACAGGCATTCAACGTGTCCCGAGATAGCTGGGATCTGAGCGCACAAAAGTACCGAATAGCGCTCAGATCCTGTGCACACAGTCCAATCGCCGTGGAGTCAAAGTGTTCACAAAGTCTGTTCTCCATACGAATAGACTCCATGGGATGGCTATCTGGGGTACGGCTTATTCGTGGACAAAATACCAAATACAGGGAGAAGGGAGGTCGGCAGCCTCAGCGGTGTTCGGGCCAAAAAGTGTAAATTTTGAGTTCCATGGGTTTACCATCGAACACCGCTGAGCGTTTGCGGATTTAAAATGGCGACCTCGTGTTCGGGATACGAATGGCGGTCACCCAGCTACAGGCATCAATTAAAAGGTGTCTGCGGTTAACCTCAACGTTCGAATGGGGCCAAGAGGTTAACCAGCAGCACACTTCTCTTCTGGGTGGCCGGCCGTTCGGGAGTTTTATTTGGTAGTAAAAAAAGGGAATGGTAGAGAGTCCACATGAACGGGAAAACATGAATTAAACCAGTGAATAAACGATAAGTTCAAGACAGAGAAATCTGTCACACGGCTCCCCCTTTTTGGGACACTCCGGCAGACCCGGTTTGATCCTTCAACCGGTCAACTTGGGGATGTCCGGACTGAAATGCTGGAGTAGGGTCAGTCTGCCGTGACAACCCATCGGCATTACCATTGCGCTTACCGGGTCTGCAGGTGTGAAGAAACCCCCCTTTTAGTACACTATTTCTGCCTATTGCATTCGGTAGATGTAACTACCGAACAAAGACCACCCCCCGGCTCGTTAAACATCAAAGACTGCCTCAATTGATGCCTCTGTCTGTGCGGCCAGCGTTCGTACTGCCGAACGCCACGTGGAAGAGAAAAACGCGGCCATCTTTGTTCATGCGAACAAAGTCAGCGGGACTTGGTCGTCGTGTGTATGGAACTGAAATCGGACACTCGACTTCCTGAACACCGGTCTCAAACAAACGCTGGAACTCTACTTACCGAATAGCTAGAAGAGCGCTAGGGGGATCCATTCGGTAGTTTGTTAGTTTTTTTCCCCTCTTTCTAAAGTGACCGGCAAAACCCACCAAACTCATGGAACTGTTTTGGGCATATAGCCCAGGGTGAGCCAGTCACAGAAGACCTCCATAGTTTTTTGCGAACCCCTGAACCAGTGAGGTACCTCAGGGATCTGTACTTGGACCCATTCTCTTTAATATTTTTATTAGTGATATTGCAGAAGGTCTTGATGGTAAGGTATGTCTTTTTGCTGATGATACTAAGATATGTAACAGGGTTGATGTTCCAGGAGGGATAAGCCAAATGACAAATGATTTAGGTAAACTAGAAAAATGGTCAGAATTGTGGCAACTGACATTTAATGTGGATAAGTGCAAGATAATGCATCTTGGACGTAAAAACCCAAGGGCAGAGTACAGAATATTTGATAGAGTTCTAACCTCAACATATGAGGAAAGGGATTTAGGGGTGATTTTTTCTGATGACTTAAAGGCAGGCAGACAATGTAATAGAGCAGCAGGAAATGCTAGCAGAATGCTTGGTTGTATAGGGAGAGGTATTAGCAGTAGAAAGAGGGAAGTGCTCATGCCATTGTACAGAACACTGGTGAGACCTCACTTGGAGTATTGTACACAGTACTGGAGACCGTATCTTCAGAAGGATATTGATACCTTAGAGAGGGTTCAGAGAAGGGCTACTAAACTGGTTCATGGATTGCGGGATAAAACTTACCAGGAAAGGTTAAAGGATCTTAACATGTATAGCTTGGAGGAAAGACGAGACAGGGGGGATATGATAGAAACATTTAAATATATAAAGGGAATCAACACAGTAAAGGAGGAGACTATATTTAAAAGAAGAAAAACTACCACAACAAGAGGACATAGTCTTAAATTAGAGGGACAAAGGTTTAAAAATAATATCAGGAAGTATTACTTTACTGAGAGGGTAGTGGATGCATGGAATAGCCTTCCAGCTGAAGTGGTAGAGGTTAACACAGTAAAGGAGTTTAAGCATGCATGGGATAGGCATAAGGCTATCCTAACTATAAGATAAGGCTAGGGACTAATGAAAATTTTTAGAAAATTGGGCAGACTAGATGGGCCGAATGGTTCTTATCTGCCGTCACATTCTATGTTTCTATGTTTCTGAACCGATCTGGGTGAAATTCGGATATGTTGGTCACCCAGA